GTTAAAGTTCATCCCCGGACGGCAGCGAGAAAAGAACCCTCAGACAAGAAGAACTTCCAGCCCAAGTAGATGAAGAAGAAGATTGCCTGAAAGCCTGAGAAGAATTGGAGCTGCAGACAAGCCGAAAGTCGATGAGAAGTTAAAGTTCAGCTCCGGACGGCAGTGAGAAGAGACCACCTCAGACGACAGAGAGTTGCGGCTAAGTTGAAACAAGAAATCTTCCACCAAGTTGAAACAGGAAAACTACCAGCCCAAGCAGACGAAGAAGAAGAAATACAACTCAAGTCGGAGAGAAGAATCAACTGCGAATGATCGATAGAAATTAGCCCCAGTGTCGAACTGAACCACACTCCGACATACATACATGATTCTAGAAAGTAGGTAATTCGACATTTTTCTATTGTGTGATAGAAGCTTGGTGCCATAGTCCACAGAGCGGGTCGGGAAATGAGAACACTTTTGTTTTTATGTAACGGACTTTAAGATATAAAAGGTTGTTACCCTTTTTATCAGCAATTTTGTTTGGTGTCGTGAGTTTTTATTTTATTTGTGTTTTGCCACCCCGTCGGACTCAACTTGTATCGGCCCCGATCCCTGCTGGTCCCGTCTGTCTAAGATCTAAACACAGCGTGGGTAGACAGACCGGAGATCGGTATAGTTGCTTTAGTGACCAGGTATTGGAAGCGAGTCGGGAAAGGCGAGGCTGGTGATCATCTGACCAAAGGGTTGGAGCGGCACGCTTGGACCCAGGAGGAGCGACCAGGAGGAGCGACGTCACCGTTGGCGCCGTAACCAAAGGATCCGACACTGGGCCAGGTGTGTAACCGTCACACATATATATATATATATATATATATATATATTACACACACGCACGCACACTATCTATCTATCTCAATTTATTCATATCTATCTATTTCTTACTATCGAAATATTTCAGTCTGTTCATATCTATCTATCTATCTATCTATCTATCTATCTATCTATCTATCTATCTACCTTTCATCCTTACACATATCTATATCTATCTATTGGCCGTACTCGGTTTTCTCATTCATTTATTTATCCGTGTCAATTTTTGCATTGCAATTTCTCTCCTATTTGCCAACTCTGCTTTTGTTTTCTTTTCAGCTGAAAAAATATCAATCTCCAATATCGATTCTGATTTTAAAACTCTGTCGAGGACAATGAATATTGGCCAATAATTGCTGGACCGTTACTCCGTCTTGTGGGAATGGTTTAAAATTAGATTCGGACAGGAATAAAAACTGTCTGTTTTCATGAGATGTGGCTCACCAAAATTATTCATTTTTAAATACTTCTAATTTTTTTTATCGTGATCTTCTGAGCGATCATTTCAGTATTCATTCTGAACATTAAATTACTTCGAAGTATTTTCTCCTGTTTCCGTGTTCATTTCCTATTCTTTCATTTTTCCTATATTCAACTTATTCCTCCTATGCTTCTTAAAACATACTTTATGCCTTTGTAGAGGACCATGTATGTATTTACGTGTTGTTATATAAGAAACGCGTGTGTAACTACTGGTAGAATATTAAATGGTCCAACTACAAGAAAATTGACAGACCCAAGTTAAGTCCAAATGAAGATAGACAAACAAACAAGACCGATATATATATATATATATATATATATATATATATATATATATCAAATATGTGAGGCAGTTCAATTTATATTACATGAATCCTTCATACAAAAAACAGATTAGTGTTGTGATCCCTTTTTTTGCAAGTAGTTTCATCTGTTCATACAGACATCATCAGGCGTGTATTAAAAAAACAAACAAATCATTTTCCATGCCTTATGATGTCTGTAGGAACAGATCAAAGTACTAGCAAAAAAAAAAACTTATACAAGTTGAATTTGTTAAAAACAGAGATCGCAACATTCATCTAGAGATTCGTGGGTTAATTTAATTTTAATAAATTTGTTTGCGAAGATGTATTCTCGCCACTCATATTATTAACTTCACTAATCTGTTTTTGTCTTAATGATTCATGTAATATATATATATATATATATATATATATATATATATATATATATATATATAAAACAAATATATGTATTAAACAGAACAATTTTACAATGGATACAGACAATGACATTAGCGTGTGTGTGTGGGCATTTATGTCTGTTCTTTGCTGAATGTTCGTATTTTGGTGAGTGTTCGTACGTACATTTATTTGTGCATAATCTTCACGGCGTCTTCCACAAATGGGAAGACGCAGATTTTCTAAGAGAGCTTACATTGTAGTCGCTGGAATGAAGAAATGAAAAAGAGGATTTACCTCACCTCCTAGCGTGGTGGGATGTGGCACGAGGGATGAAGGGAAAAGAGGACGAGTTGAGAAGTCGCCCAGTATTTATAGTATAGGGAGAATGACCCCTACTGACAATTAGGGAATTAAGGAAGAGCTAACTCCGACACCTCCATCATTTTTCTTTTTCATCCGTTTATCACAGAATATATCGTAGAATTCTCGTTTGTGTTCTTTTTTACTTTCTGGCGATTTTAACTGGTTTGTTTTGGCACGTTTGCTGTTACTCATGCAGATGACACAGATATTAGTGAAGGAAAGCGAGAAGAAAGGACTAATCATGAATTGCAAGAAATTGGTTGCATGCTTGTTATCAAAAGGAACTGTCTAATATACAAATGGAAGATACCAAAATGAAACAAGTAAAACAATTTAAATGACTGGGAAGTCTTTTTAACAAGGACAGATTGTGCGTCACTGAAATCCGAAATCCTGTTGGGATTGCAAAAGGTGCCTTCGAAACGCTAAGCAAAGTATTAAGAAACAGCAGAAAATTCGCTACAAACAAATAATAGACAACTGAACGTACAGCAGTGTATACTGGACAATGTAATCTCATATTAAGAAGAGACTTGAAGCAACAGTAATATAGAACTGTAGAAGAAATTCGAGAAAGATGTTCGAGCATGTTAGAAATACTAAAGTTTTAGTGAAAATGGAAACAAATAGGAGATTTATACTTAACATCAGGAAGAGGCAGTTGACATTTCGAGTGTACATAATGATGAAAGAGGTTTTGGAAAATTTGATACCCACATGGCATATTAAAGGCATTAGTAACAAAGGAATGCGATGTATGACATACAGAACGAAATTGAGTGAACAGAGAGATAACAAAAAGATGAAATTTATTGAGCTACAATGGATATGAATTTGTGGAGTACCATGATCGTCTAAGCCCTGAATGGACACGGAACATAGAAAAAGATGATGATGAAATATTGAGACATTTCTTTTACAATGAAGGGGATATTCCGATAGAAAATAAAAAAGAACAGCGGTTATTTACACACTCATTAGACGAAAAAATTTTCCAATTTATTTCTGTCGACTAGTGGTGAAAGGACTGCTAGGGAACTGACCGACCCAACCAAACGCCTGTATGAGATACTGGGGACCCTCGAACACTTGTGAAAAGAAGAATAATCCAGGAACATTGTCGGCCGGCCAAGATATTGTTTTATCATCAGAACTCTCGCTTCGGCGAATCAAAACTTTATGTGAAGATATCAACCCGACTGCAAGATAAGTTGATTCGTTTGGCTTGATCGGTTTTCATATATGTATGTATTCCTCGCTCCTTCTATTCTTTAATGATGTCCTCCCCCTTTGTTAAATGAATGTTCTTTTTTTTCTTTCTTTACTCCGTAATATATATTTATAAATAAATGCTATATTTTGAAATCCATCGTCTTGTGTCTGTTCTTCGTTGATTCCCTTGTGTCGCTTCCATTTCTGAATGAAGACCGAGAAAAGATCCTACGTTTTCCTTTTTTTTAGAACCCGTGGTTCATCTATATGCTACAAGTTCGTAACATATAAAATTCTGACCAGCGGCAGTTGAACGTTGCTGGGCAAAAATCGTCAGACCGCCCACTGAGATGAGGAAGACAGCAAAGTCTGTCGATTAGTGGTGGAAGGACTGCTAGGGAACTGGTCGACCCCAACCAAACGCCTGTATGAAATACTGTGAACCCTCGAACACTTACGAAAAGAAGAATCCAGGAACATTGTCGGCCGGCCAAGATACTGTCTTATCATCAGAACTCTCGCTTCGGCGAATCAAAACTTTATGTGAAGATATCAAACCGACTGCAAGATAAGTTGATTCGTTTGGCTTGATCTGTTTTCATATATGTATGTATTCGCTCGCGCCTTCTATTCTTTAATGATGTCCTCCCCCCTTTGTTAAATGAATGTTCTTTTTTCTTTCTTTCTTTATTTCGTTATATATATTTATAAATAAATGTTTTATTTTGAAATCCATCGTCTTGTGTCTGTTCTTCGTTGATTCCCTTGTGTCGCTTCCATTTCTGAGTGAGGACCGAGAAAAGAAACCACGTTTTCCTTTTTTTTAGAACCCGTGGTTCATCTATATGCTACAAGTTCGTGACATCTAAATAAAACGCTAAAAATTAGCAAGTTTATCTATAGAGTTGGTAAGGTCGAACTATATCTTCCTTGACTGAAGGGATAATTTTTGGAATTTTCGAGAGATGTCAATGTATTTCGATTTGAATTGGTTATATACTGTACCTATGAACACTAATGGATGTGTTCCAATCCTGATAAATATGTTGAACACTATTGTAAGTGGGGGTAATCTGCTAAGTAGTCAACCACTAGCAGTGGTTTACCTACTTCACGCCGCTGGCGAGTATTGTATTTTGTTTCATTTTAATCTTCGGTTTTGGTTATTCCTCATTCAGTAACACTTTATCGGTTGCAACGGAAGTAAAAAAAAAAATACTGAGCCATATGATGTACACCATACAATTGAAAACGAAGAACTGAATGTTTTGTATTATGTTGGTGCATTTTTCTGGATTCTGTTCCCTTCATCAGCCAAAGATTTACATTGATGTAAACTCTGAGTTCAAATCCCATAGTAGAATTTTTTATGGACAATAATTGAAAATGACGTAGAAATAGGAACTAATTCGAAATTCTTTGAGAGATGGAGATAGATAGATAGATAGATAGATAGAGAGAGTGAGAGAGAGAGAAAGATTGGCAGATAGTGAGAGAGACTGAGAGAGATTGAGCGAGATTGAGAGAGACTGTGAGAAAGATTGATAGAAAGATAGATAGATAGAGAGAGAGAGAGAGATAAACTTTTAACGGACAATAATTGAAAATAGCTTAGAGAAGATAATACATTAACTCGAAATTCTTTGAGAGGCGTTGAGAGAGTAAAATTGAGAGAGAGAAAGGGAGTGAGAGATTGGGGGAGAGTGAGAAGAAGAAGAAGAAGAAGAAGAAGAAGAAGAAGAAGAAGAAGAAGAAGAAAGTAAAAAAGGGAAAAAGAAAAAGAAATGTGAGGTTACTTATATAGTTCTTGGCAAAAATAATTTATTGGTCGATACACATTTAAAATACAAGTCAAATATCCGTCCTGATAACAAAGAAAATTAAGCCTTCGATAAAATTTCTGTATACAAAAATAACATATCATCAGGCCATTTACATTTTTTATTCTAAGCTTAAGACATAACCAAATTCAGCTCCGAGAAACAGTTAAAGTCTTTTCTATTATTATTATTAAATAAACAAAATGGATGACTTATTATAACTCTTCCAATATTTTCAACACTTAGAGAATAGCGCAATTTAAGAAAAGAAAAAGAAATGTTCAATAAAGTCTCGACAGAATGTCTGCTATCTGATTATATTTCTGAGATGAGGTATTGTAACTATTTACACTATTTATATCATTTGGACCTCAACTTTACTGTCATATGCACGACATTTCAGCCGTTGTAACCTACGGCCTTCTTCAAGTGACGTAAGTTGGAATTTCGAACCGAACCCTATATTTAGTTCACGGGGGTGGGTGATTGTTCTAATTCCACGTGCCATGCCTTTTGAGTATCTCACTTTTAGTTAATCCTCTTGATAACTCAACTCACCAAGATTTTGTTCCTACAACGGTGGCTAGATATATACTTAACTTTCTTTCTTTCTTTCTTTCTTTCTTTCTTTTCTTTCTTTCTTTCTTTCTTTCTTCCCTATAAAAACTTAATGTTCAACACCTGTTTATATTTCTGAGATAAGGTATTTACATTATTTGGACAGTTGTCCTCATCTTCATTGGATATTCACGACGTTTCGGCTGTTGTACGCTGTGGCTTTCTTCAGGATCTGTCAATATTTCTGATATGAAGTATTGGAATTATTTACACTCTTTATATTGTTCGAACTGCTGTTATCGCCATTGTTGGCATATTCACGACGTTTCGACCGTTGCAAGGCTCCGGCCTACTTCAGGTGATATTTCTTGGAATTTCTAACCGAAACCTATATGTAGTCAACGGTGTGTTGGGGTTAGGGTGATTGTTCTAATTCCACGTGCCATGCCTTTTGGGTATCTCAGTTTTAGTTAATCCCCTTGATTACTCAACTCTCCAAGATTTTTGTTCCTTTTGCTGTGGCAAGGTATATACTTAACTTTCTCTCGTTTTTTCTTTCTTATCTATAAAAACTTAACGTTCAAAATTTGTCTATATTTCTGAGATGAGGTATTTACATTATTTGGAGAATTGTCCTCATCTTCATTGCCATATTCACGACGTTTCGGCCGTTGTACGCTTTGGCTTTCTTCATGATCTGTCAATATTTTTGAGATGAAGTATTGGAATTAATCACATTATTTACATTGTTCGAACTGTTGTCTTCGTCATTGTAGGCATATTCACGACGTTTCGGCCATTTTACGCTCCGCACCTACTTCAGGTGATACTTCTTGAAATTTCGAACCTAACCCTTTATTTAGTCCAAGGGCTCTAATTCCAGGTGCCCTGTCTTTGGGGTATCTCAGTTTTAGTTAATCTCCCGTGATAACTCTCCAAGATTTTGTTCCTTTCTGTTGTGGCCAGATATTGAAAACGATTAGTTGAAGTAATCATAAGAGTGACTTGAACCAGTGATTTTAATACCTGGCAATAGCAGAGGGAAAAGAAACCTAACCGTGATGATGGGGCACCCGCATACAAAAAGAAAAACCTCTTTAGACAAGGGCCTTCGGGTTTGTTTTTTTTTCTTACTGATTTTTCATCTAAAAAAGGCTGTAGAATAGATCGGCTGTAATGTTAGCCGTAAAAAAATCTAATAAAAGCAACAAGAATTGGCTCACTTGGTACTATTGGAACGAATTCACTTTTTTAAAATCTTCAATAAAATCATCTTAAAATCATGGGTGCCATGATAGCTTTTTCGGTGCTTCATCGACAGAGTTTGAATGTTATTTATAAATATGATCATTTGTATATAATTTTACTGAAATTAGAATTTAGAATTTGGAATGAATGCTTTTCATAAGAATTGATTTTAAACAAAACTGTTTTCGACTCCATTAATAACAGCGAATCGAAAGAATGTTCATTTTATTAATAATTCCGGACTAAATGTTAAATTTTGTATGACAACGAAAGAACGGGCAAATTGAATGTAAGAAAAACACAAATGTGTACTTTTGGCTTGAATGATTTTTTTTATTAAACCGCTGAATAGTGTAGCTCATAAATTAACCTTGTTACAATCAGAATGTTCATCAAGGCAACCAAACAGTAGCAATCTCGATGTTGTTCGTAGGCGGCAAACACAAAAAGAATGTTAATGGCAGATGAAATAGGCAATTCCTTTTTCACTAATCGATAGAGGATCGGCATTTATTTTTGGATCGATCAGGCTGAAAGTTAGTGTATTTTACTTCAAGTATCAATAAGACCAAAAATGTTTCCTCTAGTAATAGCTTAGTGATTAGAGCAAGAGGAATCGCTCGGTAAGGTTTATTTTTCAATAATGTTATAATAATGTTATTTATGTTCGGACTGTTGTGTTCATTTTTGTTCTGTTTGTAAAAATCTAGGTATATACATCTCGATCGTTTATATATTCTAAACTTCAGAATCAGTAGAAACAGGATGAATAATAAAAGACCAGTAAAAAAAAGAAAAAGAAAAACTACTTTATGTAGACATGGGCAGTGGACGAGAACGATGCACCGTCTAAATAAAAGAAACAGTTAGATCGAGTGACAAAACCCAAAGAATGTGAGTTCAATACCCGGTTAAAGCAGTGGTTAACTTTTAGAGCGAAATTAAAAGGAGATAACTGATAACTGACATCCATTAAAACATGTCACGTGGAACTAGAACAGTTTACCCCAGTGAGCGAAATAAAGGGTTCAGTTCGACGTTCCAACCATCTGAAGAATGCCGGAGCGTACAATGGCTGAAACGTTGTAATAAATATGGCGAAAAAGATGATAGTTCGAATAATGTAAATAATGTACATAATACCTCATCTCAGAAATATAGACAGATACAGAAAGAGGTCAGTTCAAAATTCCCTAAAAGTTATTCTGATCGACAGACATCTGAGGAAGGTGAGAGGTCACCATAGACGAAACCGTGTGATAATAAGAAATATGAGGAGATTTATTAATATAAATAGTAGTGGGTTTTCATCACATAGTAAGTAATTTGAAATTTGGTACGCATTGAATTGTCATTATATAAAAGAACGATTTCATAATTAAGCCACGCACATGCCATGTAAGTACAAGGTCGACAAAAAGATTATGATAAAGCAGTACTGAACTTTTTTTAAGCATTTCGCTCCAAGCAAGGCGAGAGTAACACTAGGAAAGAGGCGTGAAAGAGGAAAGGATGAAGAGAAGGACGGGGAATTGATCAATGAATCTGGAGATGTCGATTGGCATTGCATTTGAATAGTTGGATATTATAGCTATCAAGGAAGCAAAATGAAGTGTGTTCCACAGACGGAGAGTGCTAGACATGAAGCTATAGAAGAGACGGCTACATTTAACCATTTCGACAGTGTAGGATTGAGATGCCAACCTTGTGGCAGGTTTAAACTCATGCAGTTTAGGAACTAGCGAAAGTAGATCGTCGGAGCAGTTACCGTGAAAGTATTTGTAGAAAAGACCGAGGAAGGCGACGGCACGTCTGTTAGAGAGCGACTGTAAATGAGATGACAGATCAGGGCCAATCATTTTGCATATCAGTCTCTGGATTATGTCGAGGACTTTAAGACTAACAACCGGCGCTCCAGACCATATAGACAGCAGTATTCCATGCAAGGGCATATGGCTGATTTGTATATTTGAATATATGAACTCGAGCGCGAAAAAACTTTCTGGCGTGACATAAAGAACAAACTTTCCTTGCAGTAGATAAAGCTATTGATTCAATATAATTGTCAGGCCAGCGGACAGTGTGAGACCAAACAGTCGAAAGAGGTGCTCCCAAGGAGTTGAGCATCAGACACTCTAACGGGAGGCAGGAATGGTTCCCTGTGGTGAGTAATAGAGAGCAGTTTTGTTTTAGAGGCATTAACGTTAATCAACCATTCCCTGACCCACAACAACCAATTGAAATCCTTTTCGAGACCAACGGCCAGGTTAGTTTTGTCAGCGATACCAGATTTGTTATTTAGGCAGCAGTAAATAGTAGTCTGCATAGATGCCTACTTGGGAACTGATGACATCGGGAAGATCGTTAATGAAGATAAGGAACATTTTAGGACCCAGTATAGAGCATTGAGAACACCTGCGTTTGTGAGAAAGTAACTGGTAATTTCATTACACGGTTTGACAGGAATTATTGTATTAAGTCAAATAATCGTCCTGAAATACCGTATGCCTGAAGCTTACGAAAGAGGCCGGTGTGCCAAACCCTATCAAACGGTTTAGAGATATCTCGAGCCACGGCAAAAGTGCGTAATAAACAAATTCTATTATGGCCGTGAGCACATCAACAATGCATGGCGACGTGTATATATATATATACATATATATTTTAAGACATTTTTATGTTTATACATTTTTTATAGATACAAATATTTAAGCAACTGCTCTGTTTATAATAAACAGTATTAATAACATTTACCGGTCTAAATGTCAGAGAAGTTTTCATTGAAAATATGCGTACTCCGACAGGAATCGAACCTGTATCCTATAAAGAAACCGTTATATAGCCTGACGTGCCTTAACAGATTGAAGAGGATCGTTCGGTTAGCGAGGTCGATTTTACTGCTTTTATAAAAAAGAATGTATGAACATACAATTATGACTTTCCATTTCATTATTAATTATATATATATATATATCCATTTTTATATATATATATATATATATATATATATATATATATATATATTATGATAAATTTATTAACCTAATAGAAAAAGTTAATATGTATAAAGGTGATAGACAATACGAAAAATGTATTATTTGCCGATGCGTTTGGTTCAAATTTTTTCCTTTCTTATTTTCTCTCGCTTCAACCCTTTTTCTTTTTTACT